ATGGATTTTACTGTGTTCACCCACTTTGGAGCTTACAGAAGTAAATGGTGGAGAAAAAAAAAAATCTATGGAAGAGAAAAGTGAATGCAATGCACGTTACTGCAAAACTCAGATTGCCTCAGTGATAACCCAGAACATGCAAATATATAGGGACTTCTGACTTTCCTGATCAACATACTTGTACTTGCATTTAGTCAGGACCTTAGAAGTACTGACACCAGACAACTGGCCTTTTCAGTAGTCAACCCCCTAATTTCTCTCAGGTGTCCATAAATATTAGTCTAGTCTGACATCAGCAGACCAACCTGTAGGCTAGCCCATGGAGCTCTGCTGTGGGAACCAGGCGGTCTAGTTTGAGAGGAGTGTACCTGCTCTCCTGCTGGACATCATAGTTCCTCCTGCTAGCATCTACATCCAGTAGTAACATAGGAGCCAAAAGGAAGAACCACAACAGCTGACAGGGGAGCAGATCTTGGATAAATCCAGAAGTCAGATTCTTGGGGTGGTCAGAGATCAGCAACATGGTACAATAGCTGCCAGAAAGCATTTTCTTTTTACAGGCTGGTCTTATGACTAATGGGTGGCCTTTCAGAACAGCATGCACAAGCTTGGTTGTAAAGCACACGTCACGGCTGAGAATTATAACTTTTTGTAGAGATCACATTTTGCCAGCTGGAAGTGGTGCGTTTAACAGAGGACTTTAACCTTCATGTGACCAGTACAGCGCCAATCAATGCTGTGCAGACAGACTCATACATCAGCAGAGTACTAGAAGACCTTTCCAACAACCTTTCCCTGCAGATGTCAGAACAGGATCCTGCATTTTTAATGGTTGGGTGGATTAGAATCTATACATGTAACTTGGGTGGTGTCTCATTCTTACCAGCACTCTATGGAGGGGAAGGGGAGGGGGGAGGTGAGGGGCACCACAGCTCTACCTACACAGCTTGACAAAGGATCATGCTTGACAGGCCATTGCAGTGAGCCTACTCAGAAACACATGTTGCGTAACATCTGGTGACACCAACACGCTTTACGTCATGTGCATTCCAGCCCCGTTCCTGATCTTCCTCTACATGAAGCCCTCTTCTGGAGCAAAACAAGCGGCATACTAAACAGCAGAGGACACAGCCAGCATTTGAGACTCTCTCCACTTCACCAGAGACCATTCACTATGTGCCTGTCTCTCTTCTCCAACAGTTGTACATTTTCTTTGCAATAAAAATTGTTTAGTTTACACTTCCGAACAAGCAGTTAACCCTTGCAATATGGACACAGCGCTGCTAGGGAAGCTTCCAAATGTTCAGCTATTGGGTCAATATGACTCAAAAGCTTCATCACTAGTATTGAAACCACAAGTTCACCAGGGTAGTATATCAGACACCAACTTTTTGTTTATAAATATTGTATGCTCTTTCTTGCTCAATAATTGTTTTTTTTTATTGCAAAGTATATATAAAAAAACCCAGCGTACCAGACGTTACAAAGACTGCTTACATCAGGATAGGTGGCATAAAATCCTGTTCAATGAATACAGATTGAGATGCTTAGGGGGTAAAACATCAGACAGTAGAAAGTTGTCAGACAAGAGCTCTTGGGCTTGTAAGCTTTCACACTGCAGGCTTTAGGCAATGCCATCAGCTCTAAAGAGAATACTGTATGTGTAGCCGGAGTGTAAAAAGTGGTTGTAAACCTTTACATGTGTAGCCAGTGGAGGGGCTGGCCTCAGGTAACAGATGGAACAAATTCTCCTTCATAAGTTGTACTTTTGTCTATCTGTAGTCTTCTCTACATCTGTTCAAAAGTCCAGAATTAAAAAAAAAAAAAAAAAGAAAAAAAAGCTTGTCTGAGTTCAGAAATTAGGGGACAGAGAGCTGGAAATGCACAGCAGAACTGAGTGAGGAGAGCTGATTGGAGGGAAGAGACCTGTCTCTGCACAGTTGGTAGGAACAGAGTTGAGGCTGTCAATCTGCTGGCACTCCCTCCCATCATTTTTTTAGGAAAACTTGTCAGAAGTGATTCATGGATATAGAGAAACGAAGCAGCTCAAAGAAATGACACTTAAGTGTTCTGGACTGAGACAAGTACACACTATAGAGGGATATGCTTTGTTCATTTCTGAAGTTTACAACCACTTTAAAGGATTTGTTCCCTAAATTCCAGCTCCCCTATGTACCAATATAGCTTTTTTTTCTTTTGCAGAAATTCAAAAGCTTTTGATTTTTTTTTCTACCCACCTTTATGTCAGGGTCCAGATGGCTGTACAAAAAGAAAAGCAAATATAATAAACTGCCAGTTATAAAGCTTACCTTCTATATCCAAACAAGTTCACCTCTGTTCACTTTTCCCCTAAATTCAAGCTTCCCTATGTACCAATATATAGAATGAATGTACTTTTGCAGAAATTCAAAAGCTTTCCATTTTTTCTACCCACCTTTGTCACTGTTCAGATGGATGTAATAAAAAGCTTTTCCATTTCTTCTGCCTCATTTCCTGTAGAGATTTTAGGTACCAACACTAGAAGGAGTGGACCAGCTGACGTCATTAGCACACCCTGTATCATCTACCCTCCTACCCCTCACCCCCTTCCATGTGCACCAATATTAAATGAAATGCACTCAGTGATCACTGTTCTCACTAAATACACAGGCATCAATTTTTATTTTGCTACCTTAACTTTATTGTGCATAGATCATTTGGCATAGGCGGTTATCTGATCGCTCAGCAATCTATGTGGAGAGAGCTGTAGCATTGAAAACAGGAGAATTGGGTTCTGTAAAGTTCACATACACTATACAATCTGATTGTACAACCTCCTTTAGATCCAAAAAACTTTGTAGTGCAAGGGCCCACCTGATTGGATACAGAGTGTTTGGGCAGATAGATGGAAAATCTAAGGAAATTGTACAGAGATTGTACAGATTGCATTGTATATGGCTGTCTATATACAAGTACATAGGAGGGAGTGGATGGAGACTCCGCTGTCAAGCCCCGTTCACACCTCTGCATAGCAGGAATTCACATTCCCGCATGCGTTTTTTTTTGGGCGGAGTTTTTGCTTGTCACGTATAGGGCACCTCATCCACTTGAATGGGCTGCCGTATGGACAATAATCGCCCCAAAGAAACTTCAGAACTTAAAGAAAAAAAAAACTGAGTCTACCTAGCAGAAACACAAGCCACATAAAAATCTGGCCGACCTTTCCTACTCTATCAAAAGCCACTTTATATAAAGCCATTTTTCTTTAGTAACCCAACTTGGAACACTTGGGCAGGCGAGATATCTGCTCTTATATCTTGGATCAATTTTAGGAACACAAAAAAAAAAAAATAAGGCTCAATAGGACAGTTAGAATTTTATTTGTGTTAGCCTTACTGAACCACGTCGGTTAATTAAAAAAAATAGTTACACACATTTAGCAGATATAGTTTAAACAATACATTATGCCTAAGTTACTATACACATAAAAACAAATTTACAGTGACAGTTCTTAATAGAATATTGGACACTTTACAGAAGTTCCGTTACTTAGCAACGAGTTACCCCATTCCAGCAATTTGCTAGAAAAATATGACACCTTCTGCAAGAAGGAGACAAAGACTGATAAGGATGTCAGTCCCGAGATAACAGGCGGAATGTACAGGGAGTTGGCACAAACTGGTGAAGAGGTTAATGGGTCATGCTACATATGTTTTACATTGCCCTTCCCAGGGACAAGTCGAGTCACTTTTACAAAAGATCATACCTATGACCAATAAAAATAGATCCTTTTGCAGACACGCCCGGACTAACATGGCTGCGTTGTGGGACCTTGTGAGCATGTGAACATTCTCAGGGGATTAAAAACGATCATAAACTAAAAAGATGTGACAGATAGCAGGCCATAAATATACAGGAGAATTATTGCAGCACAAAACCGGTAGTGAGTTACAAGCAAAGTGCCTGAAATAAAGCGGGACGATCTGCTTATTGCTAAATGAAATAATAGATTAGGGAAAAAAAAATAAAAACAAAAATAGAACCACGCAGTAATGTTGAACTTAATTCCTATTACATAGAGGAAAGAACTTCTCTTAACAGATAAAACTTATAGGAAATCTGTATTAAGGATGTAGCTGCAAGCTTTCTGAAAATGCTAAATACCTGGCTGTCATGCTGATACAATGGCTTCAATACATGGAGGCAGACCTGCCACTTGTATTCAGGTCTAGAAATGTAAATCTACTTTGCAGTATTCTTGTTCCAGGCCAATGACTGAGAAAATAATGAAGACTGAGCCGGTTAACTGGAATTTTCAGAAGGAGCTCTGCCAAAGCAGCCCTCAGTACAGGTTTCCCCTTACATACTTATTGCGTGGGTGATAGCTCAGAAAACTTGGCATGGAAAACTATACTAGCTTCTATAGCCATGAGAATATGTAGAGTTTCTACTGATTCAGTACCCTTTCTGCACGCATTGCCTGCCCTTTAAGTGGGAGAACTTTTATAGACTTTACAATACACAGTCATGGAAAGAAGGGAAGGGAGGCTGAGATCTCAACATGGCAGATCTTCACAGCAGAAGTCCATAGTCAGGTTCTTTAACTAGTAAAAGTTTCAAAGATAAATTGTTTGTTTCATTAAAGCATCCCTTTAAGCTTGGCTAGTTTTGCATTCAGAAACTAAAAAGTATTGCATATGATTTTACACCCACTGCGTAAGTCCGCATCCATGGCAGGGGATTCCAGAAGTGTTTGCAGCACAGGGGTAGACCGTCCACTATCAACTTGCAGAGATGGAGACGCCAGGTCTGCCCTGAACACGTGAAGGGTATTAATATTCGGTTCACATGACACTGGCTAGCAAGAGGCCGCATTGCTCAGAAAGTTCCAGCCTTATATGTAGGTCACACAAACAAGATTAGGTGGGCTCTTGCTCCCTGGCATCTGTAGCAGAATTTGATCCTTGAAGATTCCATGCCAAGCTCTGGGAAGCACAGGCTTCTGGGTCTATAGTTAGTCATCAGTGGACCTGCGGTTGGGTAATATCAGTCTCCTCATAGTGAGGTGGTGAGTCTGTGTCATTTGAGGAGGCTTGCTGCTGATCTTGGTCCTCTTCAGGTCCATCTTGTTCACTGATGTCCTCTAGTTTTGGGCCAGCAACAGAGGTGCCAACATCCCCACTGGGCTTAGCCATTTTTATGGCTTCTTCATAGGCTGGAGGGAGCTCTAGAGCATAGAGGCTGTAAGCTGGTGGTGACATTGCACTTCTGTCCATATCACCAAATGCAAACATATGAGGATACTGCACTGAGCTGTAAGCTGTAATAGATCAGAAAAAAAAAAAAAGGATATAAACATTCCTTGCAAAGCTGAATGCATTGGTCATGTAAAGAGCTCAGTGTTAGGATAACAAGAACCAAAGTGTCATTTAAATGGCAGCTCAACACAATGTTACAATAGTGGGCAGCAAAAGCATAACTCCTCACAAGGAAAAAAAAAAAAAAAAAGTTTTATTTTCCAAACCATGGCGGTGACCTGCATTAGATTTTTAATAGGATAGCTACACAGCTTATTGCACTGGGTTAATAGTGTTAAAGGGTACTTAGGATGGCAAAGCCCAGCACTTTATAACCTGACAGTAAATTGGAACTTTAGTCTAAATGGTAGTCTATAGCGAGCTTGTATGGGAACAGTTAAAAAAAAAATCCAATTGGTTACATTTCAGTGGCATTCCCCCCCACCATATCTTCCAGGGGATAGTGGTGAAATCTCCTTGCCATACTTTCTGGCCCTTTCCTAGTCATATTGGGATAATTTAGTCATGGTGACTGGTTCTCGTTATAAGTCCACATTAAAAGATTTACAAATTGCTCAAAAGTAGCTACTTACAGGTGACTGTGCTGTGAATGGTGCTGTCATTGTCAATGGCAATCACAGTCACTTCATAGGGATGAGTTGGTAAATTTTGCACAGGCGGTTTCTTCTTTTTGCAGCAAAACTTTATGCAGCTGGCTGTGGTCCCACACAGCAGGAGAAGAAATATGGTGACCAGAATCAGCCTGGGGAAAGAAAGAAACTATATAAACACAGACAGGGAAAGGCTTCTCTTGCTGTCATCGCTTTTATAAAAGGCTTTAACACAGAAGGCCCATTTGCAAGAGCAGAAAAAAAAGGTCAGTGGACCAGTCTAATCCAAAAGCTAGCACATAAACCCAGCCAGGCAAAGGAACCAATGCCAACCAGAATACACAACATATGACAAATTAAAATATCAAAGCTTTGACTTTAAACTGTACATAGACCCCAACAAACTTTCCATATGTGCTCTCCATTCGTCTGTTAAAAATTGTGATTATCTTTTAAACAAAAATTAAGTTTTGCCCTGTTCAATAAAAAAAAAAAAAAAAAAACTTTTCCATGTACTCCCAACTCTGCTGACCTATTCTCACTTTACTTCCAAAAACTTCCTCCCTATGGTATGGCCATGACATGTCCTGTAGGCCTACTCAATACTTGTCCTAGGGTTAAAATGCTGCCATGGGATAGATACATTAGAGCTCAGGTGTCAAAGTGGCAGCCCTCCAGCTGTTGCCAACTACAAGTCCCATGAGGCACTGCAAGATTGACAGTTACAAGCATGAATCCCAAAGGCAGATGCATGATGGGAGTTGTAGTTTCACAACAGCTGGAGGGCCGCCAGTTTGACACTCCTGCATTAGAGTCAAAAGCATTGTTGCTCTAGGACAAGTATACTACTGGCAGGATCACTGGGGGCAAAAGCCTGAAAAGCTAATTCAGTCACCACATCTAGGTGGCTCATTGGTATCTAGTAACATCTAGGACTAGTAATCTAAATCAAAAGAATAAGCTTCAAATCAAAATGTGAACAAAGCCACGTCTAATAAAAAGCAATTCTGCACTTTCATCGATCCCATATGCATGTTTTAAAGTGCTTACAACTTTAAAAAGGCCTACTAAAGTAGTAGCACTCATTGCATGATATCCCCATCAGCCAGACTTCCTCCCGAAGACCTATTGAGATTCTCCTGGCAGGGAGTAGCGAGGCGCTGCGAATGCAATTATGGCTACAACCACCAGCAACAATTTTATGTAAAAAGCCAAAATGCTGGTTGTACACAACGATTGCTGGATCATCTTGGATGCAACCAGCCTGCCCAGAGAATCTTGGCCAGTCCCTGTTGAACCACCTGATATTCAAACCATCTACAACCAGCTTAAGGCTTGTCCTACAGCCACAGAGTATGTTCTCAATCAAGGATGTTGTCAGAGGCTGCTGGGACTCCCAACAAATAGCATGGAGAAATCTCAAAGCTGCCCACTGACTACAAGGGCTGGATCATTTGCACTTTTGAGCCACCAGTCCAAAGATCTGCAGTTTGAGGGTAAAGCTGGACAAACATCTTGACTTTTCTATTCAAACCAGTTCCGGAATCCATGCTACACATTATGGACAAGTCTCCCATTGAGGCTACTGTATTTAGACAGCTGGCTGTGAAAATACACAAATTGCAGTAGCAACCGACTGGATGCAGCTGCTGTTCAGCCAACAATTTTATGTGACACTTGCAGGTTGTTGAACAGGAGACAGCCAACAGGGCCACTCACTGAACAAATTACAGCCTCAGATCAATGAAATCCATACAGTGTATGACCAGCCAAAGTGTTGGTGACCTCTACATTTACCTTCACCCAACCAATGTGCACAAAACCCCAATTCATCAGTGGGGTGCTACAAGCAATAACCAGTTGATCTTCATATTAGAATGCTGCCAGTTCAACTCCGATTTGCCCAAACTGTCCCTTATAGGTTATAAACCTTGAGTCACTCCCCGACTCCATGCTAAAATCATCCACAGTATAGAACATGGAAGTCTGTCATTTCCTGGCATTTAACATAGGCATGCATTTCCTAGACAAAGCTTCTGAAGAAACCCGGCTACAAAGGTCAGTCTGACAATCCCACTTAGTGCCGAGGTCAATATCCAAAGAAACAACTTCCTTCCAACTGTCACTGCTAATACTCTGACCTCACACTGTGGTTTTAACCCTTCCTAAAAAGGAAACCAGCACATCTGGCTCTATTACATCTAGAACATTTACATATTACAGCCATGCAGCAATACACCAATTGTAGCCAAATCTATCGCCTTGTAACAGTAGCCATTTACATACCAATAAATCTGACCTCCCTTTGTATGCTGTACACAGTTGAAGTTTTTGCATTTATTATTTTATTTTATTTCAGGTACTTCTATAGCACCAATTTACATATATGTTGTACATTCACATCAGTCCCTAACCCTCAGGGGCGTACAATCTAAGGTCCCCAACTTACATTAATACATACACATTCTAGGGCCAATTTAGACAGGATCCAATTAACCTACCAGCATATCTTTGGAGTATGGGAGGAAACTGGAGTACCCAGAGGAAACCCACGCAGGCACAGGGAGAAACCCACACGGGCACAGGGAGAACATACAAACTCCAGGCAGGTGGTTGAGATTTGAACCAATGACCCTAGTACTGCCAGGTGTAAGTGCTAACCATTGAGCCACTGTTGCCCATTTATTGACTAACCAGTCCCTAGACTGACATCATACTCAATGGCCCAATCATGCCTCTGCAACATCTCCAGAATACGCCCCTTTTTACCCAATGATGCCACAAAGCTTCCAATTCACTCCCTGGTTATCTCTCACCGACTACTGCAACTCCCTTATTGGAGTACCTTTACATAGGCTATCCCCCCTCCAGTCCATCACGAATGCGGTTTCCATGCACATCCACCTTACCAACAGTTCAGTGTGCCACCCCTCTGCCAATCGCTCTACTGGCTTTCACTCGCCCAACAAATAAAATTCAAAATACCAACTTACAAAACCATCTACAACTCTGCCCCCAGCTACATCAACAACCTGGTCTTAATATCAAACCTCTTTGATCCTCCCAAGACCTTCTGCTCGCTAGTTCCCGTCACACCTTCTGCCATGCTCCCCTTCAGGACTCCCAAGCTTCATCTATCCTATGGAACTCCCTACCACAATCTGTCAAACTATCTCCTAATCTATCCACCTTTAGACAATGCCTGAAAACAGTTCTTTAAAGAAGCCTGACCACGCTGGGGGCGCATTCTGGAAGGACATCATATGACCCTCCCAGAACTGGACAACCTTGCTGTAATGATGGGCACTGACTGTCGGCACTGCTGGGTACTTTTGGGACTGCACTGATTATCAGTGCAGATGTCCTCTGACACTTGCTGGTTATCGGCAGTATTATCCTGTGACAGCGTGAGGAAAGTGCCACCGATAACCTGCAACTGTATTTACTTTGTGATCAGCTGTGTCTATGGACAGCTGATCACATGGTAAAAGGTCGCTGTGACTGGCCTTTTATCCAGTCATGTGATCAGTAATTCAGCTTCAGCACCGTTGTAATGGGGGGGGGTTGAGGGGTTCTGGTCGTAGTATCCAAGACATGAGCCAGGGCTGACTGAGTTCACCAGACCTGCCCCTATAACTAATTTCACTTTTGCAAAGCAATCTGCATTGGACTGCTTTTCAGAGGGTGGTAGACACTCCTGAATACCATTTTTATTTCTCTCAGTCCAAGCGGGACTGTTAAATACTTGGCTTCCAATTGTGTAACCTATTCAATTGAATAAAAACATGTCACTGGGCCGCAGTAATGCCTGCCAAACCTGATCTGTTATAAAGGTTTTGCTGCACTGTGTACCAACATGGCCATGTTAAGCATTCTGCTTGATGGTCAGGGGTGGTAAAACTGAAGGACTCAATTGCCTATTTTCACCACCCCACCAGCTGTTTATGTATACAAGCCTTTATTGCATATCCATGTAATGGAGATGAACAAAGGCAGTCATGTTTAGGGCCCATAGATACAATGGAGAAATGTGTAGCCATGGAAATTATTTGCATGATCACCAGGTGAAAAAAAAAAAACTAATGCAGCCACCACATCTTAAGACTTGGGCTTGGACTGCAAGTTACATTTTAGCTTACATCCACATTATGCAGCTTCTATACAACAGCATCCAGTTTTACCATTTTGTTACAAAACTTCATCTAACCAAAAACATCGCTAAACCCAAACATGGATTCCTAATCATTCAGTATGCCCAAAAGAAAAACAGAACGGGCCCCATCACGAGGCACTATTTTCATATGATAGTTCTGGCCTCTGCTTTGAGGACACATGGTAGGGTCTATTTTTGTAACAGCTCTAATGCCACTGAGGGTCACAGCAAAGACTGGCCTTAATTTTACTATTGTGCAAACGGCCAGCTTCCCGCAACAACCAGACAGATGGCAAAAAAGTGCCAATACTATGAATAGATGTTCAAAGCTGCAGAAAACGCTTTTAACAAAATTAACCTAGGCTCTAAATCTCTGGTGACATCTGTATAAAGGTTTTTCCGCATCCTATAGATTGCGGCACATATCCACATGACTACCTCAAAAAAAATGAAAAAACAAAACAAACAGGTCCAGAAGTTGTAATAAGCTCTACTCACCAGACATACCACAGGTTGACCCAGTTTGTGGCTGAACAAACTTTTCTAAAATAAAAAAAACAAAAACAAAAGAAAAGTGTAAGAATGGCAACAATCCCATAAAAACCGTGAAACAAGAAGGATTTAGGAAAAACAAAAAACTCACCCATCACAGTCGTCATCATCGTGATCAGCCAGGCATAATGAGATCTGAAAAAAGAAAAATAGTTTATATCACAGAAAAATAAATGCGGAAAGAATACAAGCACAAAAAAAAAAAAGTTTTATTGCATAAAGACCACAATAAAAAGCAGACCAGTCACTATAGGCTTGTTCACATTACAAAGTATGCAATGAAGCAACATGGTGCTTGTGGGCATTGCCATTTATTCCCGAATGCACCCTGAAAATGCATACATACTAACAAAAACCACACAACAGTGCTATAGTATTTGCAGAATAGTATGCTATATTACTGGCTTCCTATTAGGCATCCGTGACATACATTATAATTGACTTCATACAGCCCTGAGTTTTCCTACAGCTTTGGGTACAAGAAGGTTACTTCCAAATACACCAGCTTTACTATAATCTTCTCACAACCCGAATGTACAGAACAGACCTCATATCCATGAATCTATACTTTTTAATGACGTTCTTGTCGTAAAACGATACAAACATCTTACAATATGTACCAAACGGTCAATTCTTCGTTCACCATATTATGGATGCAGCTTTTAGATATTTATGATTTTGGGTCACCTTATATCTCAGCCCCAATGAAGAGGGAGCCTTGATCCCCAGAAATGCATTTAGTTTTCAGTTTACCAATAAACTTCTAATGGACTTGAAGTAACCTGTAGCACTTCCATCTTTTTAGGGCTCCTTACTGTGGGTGCTGTGGCCAATACAGCGTGGTTTGTTTATGCGGCTGGTGCTGCATGCAGGTAGCCTATTGCAATGTATGGGGATGCAGCAGCTGTATGGACAGCTGTACATCCTAACTGGACAGGCAGGCAGCCCTGATTGCAGGAAGTGTGTGTTTGGGGCTGGGCACCAGCTCCTGCATACCTGTAAAATTAGGACATGAGGATGTCCATGCAGCTGCTGAATCCCAATAGATTAAGACAGGCTACACTGCACGCAGCTCCTGCTACATAACAGGATGGAAATCAAACAGGTTTTCCCTTCTATGCACTATACGGCATATTAACCTACAGCTGCTCTATACATTGGGGATTGCTGCCTTGGGGGAAAAAAAAATAGAGCCGATAAAATGTTCCTGCTTTAAGCAATCAAAGCAAATACAGGCAGGGCTGGTATGTGACGTCATCACATTGCTACGTTGGCCTGTGTTGCCAGCCATGCTGAGCACCTGTCCACACTGGAGCCATCAGCTTATCTTGCATCAGAATCTTTAAATGTGAACTGGGGACTTTAATGGAGTCTTTTTGAGCATACTTTACTATGTATGTGTTTTCGTTTGACACTATGGCCACTATGAGCGCGGAGTTCCATTACCGTCACCCTTTAACGCAGGGGTCTCCAAACTTTCTAAACAAAGCCAGTTTACTGTCCTTCAGACAGCAAGGGGGCAAATCTGCGGCCACTGGGAGTTGAAATTGTCCTGGTGTCAGTAAACAATGCATCTTTGGTATTAGGGGGAGACAGTGCACCATTGCTGGTGTCAGTGAGAGGAATAGTGCCCTATTGTTGGTGTCAGTTGGAGAAATAGTGACCTGTTGGTGTCAGTGGGAGAAGTAGAGGACAAAGGGGCACTCTTTACATCTGGCAGAAAAGGAATTTAATCTCCAAACATGGAAAAGGTCTCTTCACAGTAAGAGCTGTGAAAATGTGGAATAGACTCCCTCAAGAGTTGGTTCTGGCCAGCTCAGTGGATTGTTTTACAAAAAGACCTGGATTCTTTCCTAGATACACAGAATATAACTGCATACTAACATTTATAGGTAAAGTTGATCCAGGGAATATCCGATTGCCTCTCAGGGGATCAGGAAGGAATTTTTCCCAGCAGCAAATTGGATCATGCTTTGCTGGGTTTTTTTTTTCCTTCCTCTGGATCAACTGTGGGTGTAGGATTATAACTTTTTTAATGGTTTAACTGGATGGACTTTTGTCTTGTCAACCAGACTATCGCAAAATAGGGCCCCAGGTGTCAATGGGCCCCATTGCTGATGTCAGTAGCAAGAATTATACCCCATTGTTGGTGTCAGTTGGAGGAATAGTGAGTTGAATCACTGGGAAGAAAAGTGACTCAAGGGCCAGATAAAGGCAAGCAAAGGGCCACATCCGGCCCCTGGGCCGCAGTTTGGAGACCACTGCTTTAATGGTCTAACCATTTTGGAGCATCGTCCTTTACGGTTACCAGTCTGCTATGGTGAGATTGTGATTGCACATCTATGAGCTGAACGGTCTATGACCATGACTACCTTTGTGGTCCATCTAGTCTGGTAAGAGGCTGACATCTATATGTGGAGGTGTTTATGGTGGTGGCACCTAGATCACACTTGGTACTCTCTGAAGAAGGGACTTTAGCTGTAACTTGAATTTGGTTTTCACATGGACATTTTAATTGTATTTTTATTCACCATATGCAATTCACTATGCTATAACCATTTGGTTTTTATTTGTATTTGTTTACGAATGCTGTCATTTTATTTTTTGTGGTTTTTTTTAAACTATCACAGTGATTAACTGCTGATTTAAATTTTGGTTTTCCCCCCCCCCCCCCCATCTCTCAATGCAGATACACATATATACAATTTATTCTGTCAATATATATTTATTATGGTGTGAACAATCCAAGAAACAAACAGGCAAGCATGGCAACTTTCATCCCTGGTTAGACTGACTGTTGCATCACACACATCTGTAGGTAGCATATGGCTCTCTATGGATGAGCAATGATAACCAAACACCAAAGAATTGTTCAACATGTCAGAAAAACCTGAATGTAAGGAGTTCTTAATATCCCATAGAGGGGGAGGAATGCAAACATGTCACCCAAACATTGCCACATCCAAATTGGTTGCATAACAGCCCAAGGTAATGAAAATGGTTGGAAAGGCTCAAGGTTTTTACCTTCATGCATTCAGGGGGCACCACTGTCTAGTAGAAATCTTTGTTAGGCCTAGCTTCCACTTGCGGTGGTAAAAACAGGTCACTGAGCCGCAGTTTTAACAACTCCCTACCGCTTTACTTAACATAACACAGCAGTTAAAGGATGTTGCAGCATTTGGCAGCTATAATGACCCCCCCCCCCACCTTGCTGCATTCAGCATCACCACCTAATGCGGCCCATTCAAGTAAATAGGGCTGCACCGGGACCATCTAAGAGCGTGCAAGGTATGCATGTGCAGTGCAATGCTGAGATTTCCAGGGCTAGGACAGGCAAGGACAAGGTGACACGGCTCACGCCAACTGCTCATCAAACACTCTCTGCACAGTGATCTTCAGCACAGATGTCAACGAGCCCTCAGGGTGACCATATGCAGAATAATTGCATCTGCAACCATATAGCCGGCTGATTTACTGCCTTGGTGAAAAATCTGATCGCTCACTTCATTATATTGCTCCACTCTCCTATCAGACCGATCAAGAATATCAACAAATGCATCCAGGTACTCTGGTACCACCCTCACCCCACACACGCCAGCAGGGTAACCAGCTTCTGTTAGTACAGGCATTTATGAATGGGAGAAGGGAACCTTAGAGTGTCAGCTCCTTGGGCCAGGGACGGATGTGCATGTCCACACAGACATGCACTGCATCTATAATTGCCGCAAATACATTCGTTAGGTTTTGATGGATGCCATGTTGTGGGTCTTGGCCATGATCCATAGATCTGTCAGATTGTGAGGACATGCATGATGGGACCAGGACATGTATGATGGGACCAGGACATGTATGATGGGACCAGGACATGTATGGCCTCCTCTACACCAGCCCCATAAGCAGTACACATAGCAGAGGGCCAGCAAGACATTGGTTAGCGGCAGCCCAGCAACTGACAGGTCAGCCCAGGCTGCAGCCATTGTATGGAGGAGGAGGATGGGGGGGGGGGAATCACTGCAGCAGCCAAGACAAGGATCTCCTAGTAAACCTCCCAGAGATCTCCAATACTACACATGTACCAGTGTGATCACAGGTATTATGGAGGGGGGTATACGTGAGGGGATCCAGCCCAGAGATGGAGGAGGCCGTAGAAGGAGAGGGGAGTTGTCCCGGGGGGGGGGGGGGGGGGAGATCACTACCCCCTCCATCTAGGTACATAGAGGGGGGAGTGATGCAGCTGCTGCAGTGCTCCCTCCTCCTCCAAGCACAGGCTGTCAATCACCCACCACAGGCAGGCTGGGGGGAGGGGGTCTTCCTGCCTGTGGACGTGAACTGCAGAGGATCGGGCATGGATGGAGGAAGGGGGGGGCGGGGGGCTTCACGTGGCGTGGCATTCCACGTCCCGACAACAAAGAAGCCGGCGGAGCTTACCATGATCTGCACACAGCACAGCGCCAGCAGCCTCCCCCGCGACTCGTCTCCGCACATCCACATGGCTCGGGGTAACAGGACCGGCAGATTGAGCGCTCAGCACCGAAAGACACACCACAAAGCCGATACCCAGCCACAGAACTGCGGAGCACGCTGACATCACCACGCTTTATAGCCGCGCACACGCCCATAGGCTCGGCCCCGCCCTGTGGTGGCCCGGTCCCGCCCACACTACGCTCAGTAGGGCTGTGCGCGGCGAGGAGAGCGGGAGGAGGGGAAGGCGGGCTCTGACTGAGGGAGCTGAGGAGGGCTACGCCACTCGTATACCAGGGACAGGGCCATATGGGAACTGAGACCCTCTCATCCGTGGTGCCCGTGTTGTGTGATTCCTACAACTCTCCATTGTATTATGAGGGAGAACTGGAGACAGGACTTGGGGGGGGCATAACTCCTTTTACTTGGAAAGTTGCCATTTTTGTACCCTTTGAGGAGATTTCACTTCCTGCCTGCCCTTCATACCTGTGTTACCCACTTACCCTGCAGAGGATTTACCCGCTTCTTGACCAGGCGATATTTTGCGTTACTTTAACTGACAATTGCGCGGTCATGCAACACTGCACCCCGATGAAAGTTACGTCTTTTTTCCCCCACAAATAGAGCTTTCTTTTGGTGGTATTTGATCGCCTGTGTGGTTTTTGTTTTTTGTGCTATAAACAAAAAAAAGACCGACAATTTAAAAAAAACCCTATATTTTTGATTTTTTGCTATTAAATGTGTCCAGGAATAAAATTTTAAAAATCAAATTTCATCATAAATTTAGGCCAAAATGTATTCTGCGACATGTCTTTGCTAAAAAAAAGTCCCAATACGTGTAAATGAATTGGTTTGTGTGAAAGTTACAGCGTTTACAAATGGCGGTATAGATACTGGAGGTTTTTTAGTAATATCGGTGATCAGCGATTTATAGCGGGACTGCGCTGGACATTCTGACACAGGGGGAGCTGACTTAGTGTCACTGACATCCCCAGTGACACCAATACAGTGATCAGTGCTAATAAAAAGCACTGACTACTAAATATTAATGCAGAAAACCTTGACTATTATGATCCACAGTCATCAGTCCATTTGTCTTTTTTTAACAACACATCTTTAATCTCTCCCTCTCTTGCACATTCCCCTCCCCTCTGAAGCACGCACACATCACTCCCATACTTAAAAAGCCCTCCCTGGACCCCAACGACCCGAACAACCTCAGACCCATCTCCCTGCTGCCATTTACATCCAAACTCCTTGAGCGCTTAGTCTATAATCGCCTGAGTTCCCACCTCACCGACAACCACCTCCTCGACCCCCTACAGTCCGGCTTCCGTCCCCTACACTCCACCGAAACTGCCCTACTCAAAATCACAAATGACCTGCTAACCGCTAAAGCTAATGGCCACTATTCAGTGCTCATACTCCTCGACCTCTCCGCGGTGTTTAACACAGTTGACCACCCCCTCCTCCTCCAGAAACTACACTCCCTTGGCCTCAGAGACTCCGCTCTCTCCTGGCTCTTGTCCTACCTATCACAACGCTCCTTCAGCGTTACCTACAACGCTACCACCCCCCCCCCCACTCCCCCTCTCTGTTGGGGTCCCTGAAGGCTCTGTCCTCGGACCCCTTCTCCATCTACACCTCCTCCCTTGGCCAACTCATACACTCTCACGGCTTCAACTACCACCTGTATGCCGACGACACGCAAATCTATCTCTCGACCCCTCGCCTCACCCCTTCAGTCTTCGCCCGAATCACCAGCCTACTGACGACATATCAGATTGGATGTCGCTCCACTTCCTTAAACTGAACCTGTGTGTGTGAGTGTATTTTTCACTCCATAAGACAAACCTAGAGGAGGAAAACAAGAAAAAAAAATATTCTGAACCAATGGACTGCAGACATAGTACAGGAAATGACCAGAGACTGCGGATGTACTATAGGAAATGACCAGAGACTGTGGACATAGTACAGGAGATGACCTGGTCAATATTCGCTCCATAAGACGCACAGACATTTCCCCCCCCCCCCATTTTTGGTGTCTTATGGAGTGAAAAATACGGTACACACACACTTGGACACGGGCACAATTTTTATACTTTTGGCTCTGTATGCCATCAGAATAATAAAACAAAACAATCCAAATGAATTTGATGTGCAGTCTTTCAGCTTTAATTCAAGGGGTTGAACATAAATATCAAGTACAAAGACCCTCCATTTTCAGGGGCTCAAATGTAGTTGGACAGATGAATATAATCATAAATAAAATGTTCATTTTTAATAATTTGTTGAGAATCCTTTGCTGGCAATGACTGCCTGAAGTCTGGAACCCATGGATATTACCAAAGACTGGGTTTCCTCCTTTCTGATGCTTTGCCAGGCTTTAACTGCAGCTGTCGTCAGTTGTTCTTTGTGGTTCTTTCTGCCTTTAGTTTTGCCTTGTGAAAGTGAAGTGAAATGCATGCTTAATTGGGTTGAGATCAGGTGATTGACTCGGCCATTGCACAATATTCAACTTCTTTTCCTTCAAAAGCTCCTAGGTTGCTTTTGCAGTGTGTTTTGGATCATTGTCCATCTGTACTATCAAGCGCCCTCCAATCAAATTTGATGCATTTGACTGAATCTCGGCTGACAGTATATCTCTAAACACTGCAGAATTCATCCGGCTGCTTCTGTCTTCTGTCACCTCATCAATAAACACCCTGTGCCACTGGAAGCCATGCATGCCCATGCCATAAAAAACAAAACCGAGCTCCTAGTTTTCCCCCCAGCTCGCGCACCCCCCCCCCCCCCACTGACTGCTCCATCACGTCCAACTTTGCCACCGTCAAGCCCACCCCGCAAGCCAGAGTACTTGGTGTCATACTAGACTCCAATCTATCCTTCCAGCCCTAAGTCCAATCACTAACAAACTCATGTAGACTCCACCTCCGCAACATCACCAAAATACGCCCATTACTAACCCCAGAAACCACTAAGCAGCTCATCCACTCCCTCATCATATCACGACTGGATTACAGCAACTCCCTCCTCACTGGCCTGCCTCGCCGCTGGCTATCCCCGCTTCAGTCGATCCTGAATACGGCGGCCAGACTCATCCACCTTACCAACTGCTCCGTTTCCACCACCCCCCCTCTGCCAATCCCTCCACTGGCTTCCGATTGCCCAACGGATCAAATTCAAAATTCTAACACTGACATACAAAGCTGTCCATAATACTGCCCCAAACTATATCACCGACCTAATATCCAAATACCACCCAAAACGCACTCTCTGCTCTTCACAAGACCTCTTTCTCTCTAGTTCCCTGGTCTCCTCTTCCCATGCCTGCCTCCAGGACTTCTCCAGGGCATCACCCATCCTCTGGAACTCCCTACCCCAATCCATCAGACTATCACCCACTCTCCTCTCCTTTAGGCGCACCCTAAAAACCCATCTCTTCAGGGAAGCCTACTCCACCCTCTGCTAACTGCCGATCTCCTGCACTCTTCCTACCACTCCATCCCCCACAGCTTTTTCTCCTGTACCACTATCCCCTCCCTCCTAGATTGTAAGCTCCAAGGAGCAGGGCCCTCGGATCCCTCGTATATCGCACTGTATTGTTATTGTACTGTCTCATGTATTGTCCCCCATTGTAATGTACAGCGCTGAGCAAACTGTTGGCGCAATATAAATACTGTATAATAATAACAACAGATTGCGATTTTGGATTTGTAAATGATTTTGCCTTTTTTTTTTTTTAAATCCAGAGGATTTACTCCCCCCACCTTCCTGACCAGGCTTTTTTTTTTTTACGTTACGGCGCTGTGTTATTTTAACTGACAATTGCGCAGTCATGCAATGCTGAATCCATATAAAATTTACGGCCTTTTTTTCCCACAAATTGAGCTTTCTTTTGGTGGTATTTGATCACCTGTGCATTTTTTGCGCTATTAAAAAAAAAATATTTTGAGCAAAAAAACTCTATTTTTGAATTTTTTAAACATATCCAGTAAAAAAATGTAAAAAAAAAAAAAATTTCGTCATAAATTTTTGCCAAAATCTATTCTGCTCCGTGTCTTTGCTAAAAAAAATCCATTACGTGTAAATTAATTGGTTTACGTGAAAGTTATAGCATTTACAAATGGCGGTATATATACTGGTTTTGTTTTATTTTTTACTAGTAATGGCGGCGATCAGCGACTTATAGTAGGACAGCGGAAGGCATTCTGACACTGGGGGAACTGACTTGGTGTCACTGACATCTCCAGTGACATCAATACAGTAATCAGTGCTAATAAAAAGCACTGACACTGTACTAATGGCACTGGGCAGGAAGGGGTTAACATGGGTGATCAAAGGGTTAACTGTGTGCTGTTTTACTATGTGGGCTGTGTATGTGTGTGTTTCACTGTGAGCACACTGCTTTGTATGGCTCTGCTATGCAGTGTGCAGGAGCTGACGGGGAGAGATCTGTATTGTTTACGTACAGATCTCTCCCTGGTCGAAAATCATCAGAGAGTTCTTTACCATGAGGTGCCATGTTGAACTTCCAGTGACCAGTATGTGAGAGTGAGAGCGATAACACCAAATTTATCACACCTGCTCCCCATTCACACCTGAGACCTTGTAACTTTAAGGAGTCACATGACAACGGGGAGGGCAAATGGCTGATTGGGCCCAATTTGGACATTGTCACTTAGGGGTGTACTCACTTTTGTTTCCAGCGGTTTAGACATTAATGGCTGTGTGTTGAGTTATTTTGAGGGGACAGCAAATGTACACTGTTATACAAGATGTACACTCACTACTTTACATTGTAGCAAAGTGTCATTACTTCAGTGTTGTCACATGAAAAGATAGAATCAAATATTTACAGAAATGTAAGGGGTGGACTCACTTCTGGCAGATACTGTAGGTCTTAATTCTAGTAGTGTATTTTCTGATGTTTGTACGTCTCATCTGTGAAAAATGTAACAATATGCATGACTACAAATCAAGGGTGAAAAAACCTTCTAGTCCATTCACATCTACCTGGTCCTTCGCAGTACATAAATGCATGTCATATCACTTGTTTAACCACTTGCCTGCCGGGCACTTATACCCCCTTCCTGCCGAGGCCAATTTTCAGCTTTCAGCACTGTCGCACTTTGAATGAGAATTGCAGTCATGCAACAATGTTTTATCATTTTTTTCACGCAAATAGAGTTTTCTTTTGGTGGTATTTCATTGCCACTGGGGTTTTTGCACTATAAACAAAAAAAAAAAACAGAAAAAAAAAAGTTTTTCTTTGTTTCTATTATAAAATTTTGCAAATACAGTGGGGATCGAAAGTTTGGGCACCCCAGCTAAAAATTTGTATTAATGTGCATAAAGAAGCCAAGAAAAGATGGAAAAATCTCCAAAAGGCATCAAATTACAGATTAGACATTCTTAGAATATGTCAACAATAAAAAACTAAGCAAATATTTTTACATAACGCAGCAACATCCACACATGTAGGACATACAATGTTATTATTCTTCCAAAGCAAATACACCTTTGCACACTGGTACTGACTAGTATTAGATTATAAGCTCCAAGGAGCAGGGCCCTCCTATCCCTCTTGTATTGAACTGTATTGTTGCTGTATTGTCTCCCTGTATATTGTAAAGCGCTGAGCAAACTGTTGGCGCTATATAAATCCTGTATAATAATAATAATAGTATTGCAGTGTTTCTCTCCCTTACTTAGCTAATGTGACCCAGTGCTGATGGAAAAGAGTGGGGGAGGGGCAAATAAAGATGCTGTGCTGGGACCTAACATTCTCCTTATCAACCCATGAAGTCCCTGGGTGTTAGGACACCTGGATGGTTGTAATGGTACACAATGAAAACCTGTGACTATGTAACTAAATCACAGGCTTGATTCACCTGCAGGGTTCTGCACAATGTTTTGGGCAATTTTCAGGCATTTTGCCAAGGCACCCCTGAAGAAACCTGAAGGCACCCTAGGGTGCCTGGGCACTCTGGTTGAAAAAGGGCTGATGTAGTTATTAGCGCTGTTCACATCTATTTGATTGATTTTTTAGGGGCCCATAAACAGTATATAGGCATTCTCAATGGTGCCTTAATGTTTTGCAGAATCTCACCTGTGTTCCATTAAAAACTGGCTACACGTGCTATAGCCGAATGATGGCTACAGCCCGGTTCTCCAGTTCTGGGAGGATGTCATATGACGTCCTCCCAGAACGCGCCTTCCCGTGCGCCCCCAGCTATGGCCTTTTACCACATGATCAGCTGTGCCCAATGACACAGCAAATCACTGAGTAAATACATTTGCTGGATATCAGCAGCACTTTCATCACACTGATAACCGGCAAATGTGACAGAACAGATCAGCACTGATCATCAGGGAACTGATGATCAGTGCCCTACAGTGCAGCCCAGTAGTGCCACCCTACAGTGCTGTACAAGAAGTTGCACCCATCAGTGCCACCAGTCAGTGCCATCCATCATTTGTCACCCGTCAGTGCCGCCTATCAGTGCCCAGTTTTTTATACTTTTAAAATTGATGCCTCAAGATGTGCAGAATTTTAAATGGTGCCTGGACCTAAAAAAGGTTGAGAAACACTGAATTAGACTAACATATTGTAGATATCTAAGTTTTGGGTAGAATGAGAAATGGTTAAATGCCTTGTCATTTTTGTTTGCTATTTGTGCCTATTTGGGGACACAACAGGAAGTAGGAGGAAATATCACTCTAAATATACACTCACTGACCATATTAGTGCCAAGAAAATATCCCCCACACCATTACACCACCAGCCTGAACCGTTGATACAAGGCAGGATGGATCCATGCTTTCATGTTGTTTACGCCAAATTCTGACCCTACCATCTGATTGTCGCAGCAACTAGTCTGCCCATTCTCCTCTGACATCAACAAGGCATTTTCGTCCACACAACTGCCGCTCACTGGATATTTTCTCTTTTTTGGACCATTCTCTGTAAACCCTAGAGATGATTGTGCGTGAAAATCCCAGTAGATCAGCAGTTTTTGAAATACACCAACCTGTCTGGCATCAACAACCATGCCACGTTCAAAGTCACTTAAATCCACTTTCTTCCCCATTATGCTCGGTTTGCATTTCAGCAAGTCATCTTCACCACGTCTAGATGCCTAAATGCATTGAATTGCTGCCATGTGATTGGCTGATTAGCAATTTGTGTTGCCAAGTAATTGAACAGATGTACCTAATAAAGTGGCCAGTGAGTGTATGTTAACTGCACTAAAATGCAGTGTGAATGGGCCCTTATGTTTTTTTTTTTTTTTTTTTTTTTTTAGGCCTGACTATGATTGTGCTAATATTTCTCTTTATGTTTCAGGAGATATTTTTAGAAAATACAGCAATTATCTACCTGTTAAGGACCTGCCGGCGGTAGCCTCTAGCGTTCCACAGACCGGAATTCCCCAAGGTGCGGAATCTAAGCCCCGACCTGCTTGTTCACCAGGGCCCCTGATGGTGGGGATGGACTTGGAGCAGGCCGAAACCAGGTCGCGGCCCCTGGGTGCACCCAGCTGTGGTAGAAGCGCTACCGGAGGTGTATAGCAGGTGAGAGCCTGATGTAAGAAGGTAGAGAGAGCGGAGTTGGGCAGGCCGGGTCGGTAGCAGTGGAGGCAGAACAGTACAAAAACAGTAGACAGAAGGATAAACTGGTCACAAGCCGGGTTTGGTAACAGGAGATCAAAACGTGCAGGATTAGACAGGAGAATGGTCAGACAAGCCAGGGATCAGAGCAGGAGACAGTCAGCAAATCAAGGTCAGGCAGGGTTGGCAACAAGCCAATCTAATTCAGGAAACACAGGATACAGGTAAGACCATACGACAACTAGAGCATAGACCTGACCTGTTTAAATAGGGCGCCCCGCGCCCTCATTGGTGCCAGGCGCACGATTGCGAGTGCGCATGCGTGACCGCCGCTGTCATCGTGGGTGCCCAGGTCCTAATGCTCGCACGCTAGTGCGGCCCGGCATACCGCGCATGCGCAGACCCATGTCCTGCGGAAAGATCTGGGGTCCCTGACACTACCTATCCCAGTCAGAGGTGCTAAGCATCTGCAGTATCCCAGAGCAACGAATCAGAATCAATCAAAATAGTTTATATATAGCAAAAAGATCTAAAACATTGGTTTACAAACAGAAAGGTAAAACAAAATACAATTGAACTAAAAGCGTTCGGCTCCATGCACACTAGCTTATTTTTAAGCTCCTAGCAGCTAATTATGAGCCTTTTTTCTGCCCCTAGAAGCAAATAATTAGAGATGAGCGAATTATTCAAAAATTCGATTCGGCTGATTCGCCGAATTTGTGGAATAAATTCGATTCGATGCGAATTTATTCGCTGCGAATTTAACTTATAAAAAGGGTTTCTAGGCTTCAGAGAGCCTTTATATTAGTGCAGAACACTGTACCTTTAATTTAAATGCCCTTGGAGTCTGCTGGGGAAGAGAAATAATACTGTCAGTCAGTATGACATGCAGATGAGTGCCGTCGATCTTAGAATCACCGCACACTTCACTCATTTGGGCAGTCACGGGGCCAAAACCAGAGTGTGGAGCCACAGTGTGGCGGTGGAGGCAGCAGCAATGGGAGGCCATACAGCACCCTATGACAAAATGGAACCCACCAGCAGTGTGAGGAGACCTGAAAGTGGCACATGGCAGAGTGTGGCGATGGAGACAGCAGCAATGGGAGGCCGTACAGGGACCCATGACACACTCTGGACCTGGCAGCAGCATGAGGAGGCGGTACAGGGGCCCATGGCAAGAAGAAGAAGATGAGGATGAGGATGAAGAAGAAGAAGAAGAAGTAGGATGAGGATGATGAAGAAGAAGAAGTAGGATGAGGATGAAGAAGAAGAAGTAGGATGAGGATGAAGAAGAAGAAGAAGTAGGATGAGGAAGAAGAAGTAGGATGAGGATGAAGAAGAAGAAGTAGGATGAGGATGAAGAAGAAGAAGAAGTAGGATGAGGAAGAAGAAGAAGTAGGATGAGGAAGAAGAAGAAGAAGAAGCAGTAGGATGAGGATGAAGAAGAAGAAGAAGTAGGATGAGGATGAAGAAGAAGAAGAAGAAGTAGGATGAGGATGAAGAAGAAGAAGAAGTAGGATGAGGATGAATAAGAAGAAGAAGAAGAAGTAGGATGAGGATGAAGAAGAAGAAGTAGGATGAGGATGAAGAAGAAGAAGTAGGATGAGGATGAAGAAGAAGAAGAAGAAGTAGGATGAGGATGATGAAGAAGAAGAAGTAGGATGAGGATGAAGAAGAAGAAGAAGGATGAGGATGAAGAAGAAGAAGAAGAAGAAGTAGGATGAGGATGAAGAAGAAGAAGAAGAAGAAGTAGGATGAGGATGAAGAAGAAGTAGGATGAGGATGAAGAAGAAGAAGAAGTAGGATGAGGATGAAGAAGAAGAAGAAGAAGTAGGATGAGGATGAAGAAGAAGAAGAAGAAGAAGAAGAAGTAGGATGAGGATGAAGAAGAAGAAGAAGAAGAAGAAGTAGGATGAGGATGAAGAAGAAGAAGAAGAAGGATGAGGATGAAGGAGAAGAAGAAGAAGTAGGATGAGGATGAAGAAGAAGAAGAAGAAGTAGGATGAGGATGAAGAAGAATTCCAGTGCAGCAAAAAGTGTATCTGCAGAGAGCTCCGCTATTTCTGACAGTTCTCTGACAGTTCCTTCACATTTACAGCGGTTGAAACATTGTACCTATTTGTTTCCGAATAAAAACATCTGTATCCTAAATGGAAACAAATAGATACAATGTTTCAACTGCTGTAAATGTGAAGGAACAGTCAGAGAACTGTCAGAAATAGCGGAGCTCTCTGCAGGGGACACTTTTTGCCGGCTGTAGAAGGGATGAAAATCGGCCGATTGGGGAAAATTCGATTCGCGCATCCGAAGTTTGCTAATATTCGGATTCGGTGCGAATCGAATTTTTCCTAATATTCGAAACGAATTCCACTTCGCCAGGTTCGATTTGCTCATCTCTACAAATAATGTTATCCTATGTGTCCATGCACAATATTGTAGGCTAGAAGCGTTTTTCAAGCTTCAGCTTCTAGGAGCAGAAAAAAAAACTTTTGCGTTTTTGGGAGCGATTTGCCAGCAGAAAAATACGCTGCACACTCCTAAACAATACTAAAATGCTCCTAACAGCTTTTTTCTAGCTTTATTTCCCCCCCTACATGTACTGTAAAAAACTACACTAATAAAACGCTAACACTCCTAAACGCTACTAAAACTCTACTAAAATGCACTATTACCAACGTTTTTAATCCAGCATTTTTTCTAGCATTTTTTGAGCTTCGTAAAAAAAACTCTATAATTTGCTTTAAAATGATCCTGTTACCACTGGGTCACTTGTAAACAAAGCCTACACTGTAAAAGAAGAGCATGTCCACTTACCTTTTGTGGCAGCCAGAATGTTAATATAGGACCTACAAGTCAATAGGAGAGAACCAGGGAATACAGAGAAGGTTTTTGACACACCCTGAAGTGTCAAATACCAACAGCAGCCAGGGAGAAACAACGCTGTAGAGTCTGAAGGCTGAAAGGTACGTATACATACTCTTCTTTTACAACTCATGTGGAATTCTTTTTAAGTTACCCTGTGGAGACAGGATCATGGGGTGAGGGATGTGTGGAGTAACTATTTTTACTTATTTCAGCACTGAAAACCTCACACTGAGAACAATCAGTGCCAGGCTCCAGGCATCAAAAACCAAGGTACCTTTACTTCTCCATTTCAAATTTCATCCATGCATGGTTTCCTTATAACAAAAAAATCAAATACCTCTTCTTTAAACTTATTGTATAATACATAGTTTGTAGGCAGAAAGTCTCAAAATTTGTATTTATCTGTTCTTGCATTTGTATCTGGCATTTTTATATGCATTCTTCCTTGAGTGTACAAAAGCCTTGAATTATTTTCCCCACAGCTGTACGGAGATGTACTTTTAGTGTGTTTACTTTTCATACTGTTTCGAACACACCATGTTTTTTGTTTGCGTTCAACCCAGGGGAAGTGAACCATTAATGGCAAAACATGGTTCACCATGACTGTCTTTATACTGCATTATGGTAATATGGTTCCCATAAGCATTTTTCTTGTGCATCCTCTTTAAGAGGTCCTAGCACATAACATTTTTTTAAAAATGCGAGATAAAGGTGATAATATGTGAAAAGTTACAGAAAGACAAATTAATGTCATTGCAGCTGTAATTTTTTAGTTTTATTATTTAACCGCATCTGCGCTGCCCTAGAGCAGAAATCCTTCTAGAGGGTGGCACATGTGCACAAAATCATGCGTATATATACGTGACTTTGCAGTTCCAGGTAGTGAGCGTGCGTGTGCCCTACCTGCACCACCATTCGTCGGCCTCGGCTATCAATCACCGGGTCCTGGCCGATAACTCCCCGCCAGCACACGCCGCCGATCTCCAAGGATTTATGACGAGGGAGAGACCTGCATGTAAACAATACAGATCTCTCCCCTGCTAGCTCCTGTACACTGCTTTGTATGGCTCTGCATAGCAGAGTCATACAAAGCAAGGTGCTTACAGTAAAACACACACACAGGCCCCATAGTAAAACAGCACACAGTTAACCGTTTGATCACCCCTCATGTTAACCCCTTCCTGCCCAGTGCCATTAGTACAGTATCAGTGCTTTTTATTAGCACTGATTGTAGCAATTGTACGTACAGAAATGGACACAGTCATCCATCTTGCTAAAGATCCCCCATCTTGTATCATCTTCTCTCCCTCCAATCCCCCTCCTTCAGGAATGTGGTCTGTATGTATGCTGAGATCACAGGCATCAGGCACAGCAGGGATAGCTTCATGGTTATAAACCCTAATTAGCCTGGGCCCAGTATGTCTGTGAGACTCTTGTTTGGAGGTGATCGTAAAGCTATAAACCAATCCTTCACTAAACATGAAGGACATTCCAGATAGCCGTAAAACAGACATCACATTTAAAACCCACTTTTCCATATAATTTCATATCTTAAGCTAGGAAATAATTACAATAAAGCAAAGCATATATTCGGATAGATCAGTTTAATGCGAGTCGCCTGATATCTTACATCCCTAGTTGAAGTCTACAGGAGAGCAGAGAGCCATATAGTTCTAGCTGAAATAGTGAGATATGGCATATTTGATGTTGGAACGTTCAGGATATCATTCTGCATATTAATCTACTAGTGGCTAGGCTGCTACATGCACCTAGGGAAGGTTATTGACAATGATATAAACTGCGAGGGATTTGATCATAGCCTGAGTTCCCTGCCTAAAACACCCCCTCCTCAAATGAGGCGATTGGTTCTCTGCTTTAAGGAGACACACCCTGCTGGGTTCCTAGAAAAAGGATGTTATGCTTGGAACAGTAAGATGAAGAGATCTCCCTTTTAACATTAGGAACCAACTTGGGAGGTACCGGTACCCTTTTGTTCAGGAAACTTGATCTGCTTAAACCAAGGCTGACGGCAAGTATTCTACCTCTCTAACTTCTTTCTGTTATCTCTCTGTTGTGTTATTGCTCTCTGTATTTTTATATATAGATATATAGATATATAGATATATATATATATTGACTACATATTTTCTGTAAATATTTTTATTGCACTAGTTTGACCCTTTTTAGTAATAAATCCTATTTTCTGAAAAGTGATGAATGTTTCTAAAGCTCTTTAATGCAAACTAAGAATCCCTGTCTCTGAAGAGCGCTACTGTATGTTTTAAACCTCTATATACATCTGCCTGCAGTGACAGTGTGTATACAGATGATTATTTAAACATCATAGTGTTATTGCTAATATTGGCGAGTTTCCTCCTTCTCTGTACAAAAAAGGCGGTGGTGGCAGTGTGAAGGGTTAATTGTGTAATTAACCTGACCCAGTAACTATCGCTCCCAGGCTGCAGGTACATAGATTGTGGTCCATTAGCTGGAAAATCTTTGTGCAGGGTGCAGCTGAGTGTGGCATTGTTACGCACGTGACAGCACGGATTTAGATTGGCTAGTTCTTCCGTCATGAGTTTGTGAGAAGGGCTGGGGGTCTGACACCGCGCCCGTCACACTGATCACTGTATTGATGTCACTGGGGATGTCAGTGACACCAAGTCAGTTCCCCTCAGTGTCAGAATGCCTTCTGCAGTCCCGCTATAAGTCGCTGATTGCCGCCATTACTAGTAAAAAAAAAACTCCAGTATATATACCGCCATTTGTAAATCCTATAACTTTCACGTAAACCAATTAATTTACACATAATTAATTTTTTTTAAGCAAAGACATGCAGCAGAATACATTTTGGCCTAAATTTGTTGTTTACATTTTTTTACTGGATATGTTTAAAAAATTCAAAAATATAGTCTTTTTGCTAAAAATATTTGTTTTTTAATAGCGCAAAAAAAAAAAAAAAAACGCACACAGGTGATCAAATACCACCAAAAGAAAGCTCCATTCGTGGGAAAAAAAAGGCCGGGGGGGGGGGGGGGTAAATCCTCTGGAGGGCAAGTGGTTAAAAAAAAAAAAGGCAAAATCATTTACAAATCCAAAATCGCAATCTGTTGTTAAAAAAAGACGAATGGACTGTTGACTGTGGATCATAATATTCAAGGTTTTCTGCATTAATATTTAGGGGAATTACCATAACTTAAATCAGGTTACTTACAGTACCTGACCTCCACAGGTAATGAGGGATCTAGTAATCATCATAATTATAGAGACTGTCATTTTTATTTCCCGTATACAGCTGCTGTTACAAATGTTTTATGGGTTTTATGAAAAATAATGGCAATGTACGTATTTGCACTTCCATGGTGAGCTAAACATGTCAAACATACATCTTAGCAACGTTCACTCATGATTTTTGCTTTTTCCAGTATCTGCAATAAAGTCAACCTGCTGCTATCATTTGATTTTGTATAGTGGTTTGACGGCCCTTTAATCTTCATGCTGGCGCAATAGAGCAGCTGACTCCTCCCTGACTCCCTTCCCGCTGGCTCTGATACATTAGACCAATGTCTCATTTCATTGATTGAACTTCTGACTTTTTCTTTACTAAATATAGTGAAAGTATCAGAATACAGAATCTTTATGGTTACATAGATTGGATGTACTGAGCATCAAAAGGAAAAGAAGAAATAATACCAGCACTCTCAGGTCAAAGATTGCTGACTGATAGCTGATTGAAACAATTAGTTATATGAAAGTATTTTATTAAAGTAGGGGAAAATGATTTATATTTAATTAGGGAGAAAAAAAATATATTGTTGAGCCTGCAGTTATCTTGTGTTTGCCTACTGCTAGCACCACTGGTATACTACCAAGCAGGGTCATACCTTCTTAAAATAGAACTGCTCAACCATATTGCAAAAGATGTTCACACAGTTACATAGTTAGTCTGGCTGAAAAAAGACAAAAGTCCATTAAGTTCAACCATTTAAAAAAAAAAAAAAAAAAGTTATAATCCTATACCCTCAGTTGATCCAGAGGAAGGCCAAAAAACCCAGAAAAGCATGATCCAATTTGCTTCTGCAGGGGAAAAAAAAAATTCTTTCCTGATCCCCGAGAGGCAGTCAGATATTCTCTGGATCAAATTTACCTATAAATGTTAGAATCTTCATCTTCTTTCAATACCTTTTGGAGAGGTGAACAACATCAAGGGAGATTTCTCCACATCTGGTGGAACTGCACAAATATCCAACATTTCCGTAATTCCATCTTCCAGGCATACAATAGAATGTAATCAGCAAATCTATAAGGTACACCGCAAGCAGCTCTTCTCTCCGTGCTAACGGCTTGTACCACAATATTCAGATACTGGAAAATGGCTGTTGTACCACCACTATCCTCCTGGGCTGCAATCATGAGCGATCTGATGCAGAGATCCTGACAGTAGGAGATGCAG